TAAACCACGTCACTTAATAATAATGTAATTAAAATGGTTTAACGAGAGAATCCCACGGTAAATGATAAACACTGTAATTAAAAGAAACAAGTTTTTTATCACCTATATGGCCTTGTAATCCCGCGCGTCTTGGTACCACTACTCTGCCTATTTCTACTGCGAAGCACTTAGAGAAAATTTGTAATTATCCGTCATTCCAGTTAATAACTACCCCATAACGAATGAATTAATAAGAATATATTTTTCAGGTACATAATGCCGTGTGAAAACAAAGGAGTCTCTATTGTTGCAATGGGCGAGGGTTGGCATAATTACCACCACACTTTCCCTTGGGACTATAAAGCCGCTGAATTGGGTGTCCCAAACAATACCACAACTTTCTTACTAGATCTGTTCGCTAGAATAGGTTGGGCATATGACTTAAAACAAGCATCGCCAGCATTAGTCCGAGCTGTTGCTAAGCAGAGGGGAGAATGCAAGGAATGATCTACTTCACAGCTGTGCATAAGTGAAATTAAATTATTCTATATTTTTACCAGTTTCTTAGGGCTTCTCATGGTTGCGATCACGGAATCAAAATATTTATCCATTCCCAACATCATCTCGCTTATACACATAAACTTCTAGTTGCCTTTATAGACTATCTGAACATCGATTTGCAGTTATCCTTAATGAGAGATATGAAGCTTTCATAATTTTATGAGCAGGATTCGATGCCGAATTGGCTTAATATCGATAAATTTGTGCACATTACAATGTGAAGTATAAGCATCGATGTAGCGCTTTATGGGCTCCTTGCACAAAAATCAAACATTAAGAAATACAAGTGCTATGCGATGCGTATTGCTAGCAAAATGCGTGTCGTCGATGCGTGTAGCTATGTACCGTACCACAAACAAAATAATAAAACGCTAAAATTTAAATTGCATTTTAATTACCAAAAATCTTATTATTTTTTTATTTTAGATATATCTATACTAACATTATAAAGGGGAAAGATTTGTTTGTTTGTTTGTTTGTTTGTATTGAATACGTCCCGAAACTGCTGAACCGATTTGAAAAATTCTTTCATTGTTTTGAAGTTTTCGAAGTCGTTGTGGCCTAACGGATAAGACGTCCGGTGCATTCGTGTTGAGCGATGTACCGGTGTTCGAATCTCAGGCGGGTACAAAATTTTCTAATGAAATACGTACCCAACAAATGTTCACGATTGATTTCCACGGTGAAGGAATAACATCGTGTAATAAAAATGAAACCCGCAAAATTATAATTTGCGTAATTACTGGTGGTAGGACCTCTTGTGAGTCCGCGCGGGTGGGTACCACCACCCTGCCTATTTCTGCCGTGAAGCAGTAATGCGTTTCGGTTTGAAGGGTGGGGCAGCCGTTGTAACTATACT